ACGTATGGATTGAAAATAAATTTTTGAAAGAAATTCATGTTTTTTATTGATGTTATGCCCGATTATTAGACTTTGTTAATACATATGTCAACATCAAATTCAGAATCATACAAAATATATATATATATATACATACAGGTAATTAATTCAATTTTGTCATTAACCTTCTCTTAAAATTTCCATAACTTTCAAAAAAAAAAAATTATCACTTTTAATATTTTGTTAGATAATCCACTCATTTTTTTATCATTTTCATTTTGATCATATTATCATATTTCTGTACATTATTATTTTTTTAACTAATTATTATTTAAGAAAAATCCATTTTCTTTTCTTAAACATATTATTTGCTAAAATCTCATCAAGATCATGTTTCTTGACATGTCCTGAAGATGGAACGTACTTAGTTCCGAAACGTCGACAGTAAATAAATAAAGAAAGAAAGAAATAGTTTATCTAAAAAACTTTTTTTGTTTTTATTACTTTTTGGATTCTTGTTCGAAACTCTACAAATATATATATATATATATATATATATATATATACGTATATATATATATATATATATATATATATATATATAATGTGTGTGCAGTGCTGGATTTACAGTAGGGGCAGTCGGGGCTAGTGCCCAGGGCGGCAAATTTTCAGGGGCGGCAAAATTTGGAAAGTGAGAAAAAATTCTGTATAATATAATTAACTAATTCTTCTTAAAAAATTTTTATTTCAAGAAATATAATTAACAAACCATAATACGATTGCATTACAAAATTTGGGTTCAAATAACCGATTATTAATAATCATTATTTCGCCTTGTCTAGCTCTCCGAACGTAAATTATTTAATTGGTTAATATAATATTATCAAATTTGGCAATTTGGCTAATATAGAGATTCGTAAACGATGTGAAAGTTAGAGAAAATATGCTCTTCAGATCTCGAGGCCTCTAAACGAGATAAATTTGTTCACTTCGAATCTTATTGCGCCAACAAAAAAATTGAAACTATGTCATTGTGCGATAAGGCAAATAGTATCTAATGCGTAATAAATTTTCTGCAATCAAATAGTTATTTTAATTTAAAAAAAAAAAGATATATTATAAAAACTATTAAGTGAAATTTTAGGGATGGGGCGGCATTTTTGCCAGTGCCCCAGGGCGACGAATTTATAAATCCGGTCCTGTAATGTGTGTGTATGTGTGTGTGTGTAGAGTTTTGAACAATGAATCCAATAATAATAAAAAAACCTAGAAAGTTTTGTACCAAAGTTCCTTGGTTCTTCTTCCTAAGTAAATATTTAGTTTATAAAATATATTAAATATTATTGTAATTTTTTATTTATGATCAATATAAGCAAATACAATATCATTCTCAAAATTTTGATTTGTTTATTGGTAAGATATAAAATTCTAAAAAACAAATGGAATTTTACCCACGTTCTTTTCATATATATATATATATATATATATATATATATAAATATATATATTTAAACCTATATTTATAACAGATAAATGAGCTGGCGCCAGAAAATATGCCTAACATACCTAATAACGAAAAGGCGACAGTTCGCGCCCTTATGCAACAATTATTGACTAAAGACATGGCAAATTGAACTTCTCGGCATTAAATCTATGCAATATTATAATTCGTATGTATCATTATAATATCATATTATATATTGTATTATATCATATTATCATATTATGATTTTACTCATTTACACACACACACATTTCATACTATATGTGCGTGTTAGGCATTTGTTATTTATGAGCAACATGTTGAGGTATAAATAACATCTGTGTATTCAAATTTATTGAAAATCATTTCCAGACAAAAAAAATACGGAAGCTGGAGAATATTATGTTAAATCTGGGATTTGTCTTAGCACATGCTGCAGACTGGGGTAAAAAAAAATAAAGTATGTTATAGCAAAGAAGTTATATTGAAAATACTACAATCTAAAATATTGTATATGGGGCTGCGCCAGTGAATCAAGAATTTCATCTATCCAAAGAAAACAATCTAAAATTTTAAGGTGTATTGCAAATGCACCTTGGTATGTCAGCAACCGAATACTACATAACGATCTAAGAATCGATACTATCCAGAAGGTAGTGAAAAACAGAAGTGGAATTCCTCACGACAAGATCATCAACCACAACAACCCCACATTACTTCCCGTATTACAAGCATCGCATATTAGAAGATTGAAGAAGAAGCATCCCTTCGATCTAATGCATTAAAATGGAGTAACCCACTGGGGTGATCTCCGTCATGTCATATATATAGAATTTCAGAACTGTTACTGGAGTTCTAATAATCAACACAATAGATTATAGAATATTTTTTTCTGATTGCTATTTAACTATTGTAAAAAATATTAAAAAAAATATATATACCATTATGTGCAAGTTTTAATTTTTAATATAAATTTATTTTGCAGGATCAATAATTTAATACTGAAAGAAATCATTTAATTTTAAATTTGAATTGTAATATAATTATAATTTAATTTAAATAATAAATTGTATTATTCATTAATATCACACATTTTCATTATTCTGTTATGTTTAATCATTATGTAATAATAATTGCACAGTGAAGATTTATTTTTATAAAACAGCTGCAATCTGTAATGATCATTACACCGTTGCTCCTATTATAGCATGTTCATTATATACTAACCTATTAATATAGCCTTTATAATTAATTTGACAGACTATTATCTTCTAACTAATGCAGTCGTGTTTTGCCTTACTTTACTAAATCACAATACAAAAAAACTTACTTATTCAAAAAATTATTTAGAATTTTTTTTTATTGTGTCAAAAAATCATATGATTGACCTTGGATACGGAATATTTAGTCAAGTCAATGGAGCATTTTGTGCTAGAATTTTTTTAACGTGCTCCAATTTGCATGAAATTTTGAAATTAGGTTCATCTTACTCTCAAATTCAAAAGTGAAAATAATTTAGACTCTTCTGCCACTTCCCGGGGGATGAATTTCTTTTCATCGGTATCGATAAAGGAACTAATTATAAGAGAAAAATGTCCAATAATGTTTTTCAAAAAAGCTAATACTTTTCAAGTTAGTGGCTACTGCAAATTTGCTCCTTTTTTGCGTTTTCATCGTTTTTTGCTCACATCTTCAAAAATATACCTTTTAACGAAAATCATGTAATGATCAGAATTATATCAATTAAAATCTTATCGGTGCTTTATAAAGTGTTGTAGGAACAATATTAGGCTAGATATGAAAATTTTATAGTGATTTATATTGTTTTCAATAATTTAAATATGTGAAAAACACCTAGAAAGATATCAAAGCCAAAACAAGAGCACGCCAAATGAAAATATAAGTGATTATGTGCATGTGAAAGCCGTTTACCAAAATTTATAAATCGATTAGATATGAAAAACAAAATATTCGGCTAGAGTTTACATGAACAAGCAACGACGTAAAAAGCATACTACTATTAAAATAAATTTAAAACTAGAACATTGAAATATATAAAAAATCAGAGAATATAAAAAATTTTAATTTCTAATATTTCACATAAAAATAGGGACTTACCCTACTACAAAATGTGCAGTATCTTGTATGGCCAAGAATAAATCTTACGCGACGTTAAATATGTACATGCTTAATATAGTAGAAAATACAAAAGATATGGAATATTAAAATACCACATTTTACCTCTTGTATATTTGTATATTTCTTTATATGTAAGTAGTATTGTTTGTTTGTACTCCAGTGTCTGTAGTTTTGCAATAAAAAATAATGGAAATACTATTATCTTACGTGTTACATGGTGTGTTTATTGAATATTTAAAATTAGTTAAATGTAATATATTCTATTAATTATTAATTAACCTCCAAAAATTTCTTGATATTTTCAACCATAGATGATTTCAAAATATTTCATAATGTCCGTGCTGGACAACATGTTCCAATTTGATTCATATATTAATTTCGGAAATTTGGTGATATATATTACATGAATAAATAATTTGGTGTGTAAGAACTTTAAATAATTATGTAAGCACTCTGCTTTTTTGTCAATAAATTGTAATACTAGTTATTCTACCATTAGATTCATGGTCAATAAATCCGTACAAATTAAAAACTATCCTTCTGATTGATTAATTATGGAGGTGATGAAATATGAAATACATTTAAGGCACGTCCATTTATTGTGACGTCACTTTTTTTAAATAATCCAAAATTATTGAATGTGTCAAAATTCATTCAACTAAAATAGAGGCTATCAATGTATTGAACATATTCTGTTGACTTATGAAGATAAATAGTATTATTAATGCTGCGTATGCTCAAAAATATTGCTGTATCCAAATAAATTCAAAATTAAATGTAATGAACTAATGAATTTCTTCGACTGCATTCAGTTTGGCAATATTACGTATAAAAGATGTTTCAAATAGTCTGGCACATCAAAGCAATCAAATCATTGTCATCACAGTGATCATTATAAATCAAATTTCTCTTTATGTGCTCCCAGTAAACCACAGAAGTTACCACCACGTAACTCACTTTGTAACTTTCGTTTCGAAACTGATGTTAAGTAAAAAAACCGATGCTGTTACGTATAGTTGCGACCTTTAACCACCGTCGACGCGTTTCTGTCGGTACGTGGCGTGGTACGTTGCATTGTCACATAGATTAGCCTTTGAAAATAGCCGTGAAGTGTTTTATGATCGAAATGTCAAATTAAATATAGGTTAACTCGGTCAGTGCGTCGTGGACGCATAATTGAGTATTTTATCGTGTATGTTTGAAATGCAAGATATTTCCTTTATTGAAGCGTTATTTATTAATTGCTTTTATATTTAGTGCGAAATCAGTTGTAGAAATTAGTTAAACAGTCAGCTGCAAAAGTATTTAATATGAAACCGGCAAATAAGGCGAGTCTAATTGTACTGAAACATATTTTAATTTATAAATTATTATAATAATGTTTAGTCATTTGCAGTATATAGGCCGCCTGCAATGCAAAGTCTGTTCATGTATTGTGATAATTGATTTGTCATGTAATAATTGAAATTTCTAACACACCAGTCAGAAACATAACCTCAATTCAGTGATATATGAATAAAGAGAAGTAAGTTATATAGTTTTATACATATTCATTTTTTATAGTTTTATTAGTATCAGAACTATTTAGCTAAGCACAAACTGATATAAGTTGGTTTTCAATTGTAGAGAAAATTACAGTGCTGATAACCCCTACGAAAATGGATTTCAAACTAGGGAAATTTTCTCCAATAGAGAAGATAAATACAAAGTTAGATAATATATTAGAAATTATTAATCCTTTGTCACCAAAAAAAAACAAGCAAGGCTTGAAAACATGCGAGAAGAAAAATGAGAACACATATCGATAAATAAGAACACATATTAAGATTAAGTGTTGAAAAGAAAATGAATTGTGGAGTATTTCTTAAGTGATGATATTGTATTACAGAATAGGTATATTAATGTTTTACACAAAGAGAATTTTAACTAATATGATTTAGTACTAATTTGTAATGTTTTACTTTTAGGAAATTCACATATTTAATACGAAACCAGCAAAGGTGAGTATAATTGCACTGTTTTTTTTTTAATTTACAAATTATTATATTAATGACTAATTAGTTATTTTCAGTATATAGGTCATGTGCAATGCAAATTCTGTTTATGTATTGTGATAATTGATTTATCACATAATTATTGAAATTTCTGACAGACCAGTCAAAAATCACATAACCTCAATTCAGTGATATGATATGAATATTATAGGTAGATAAGTGTAATATATATGGTATCATACATATTCTTTATAATTTCATTAGTATCAGAACTATTCAGTTAAGCAAAAACTGATATAAATTGCTTTTCAATTGTAGAGAAAGAGTGCTCATAACCCCTATGGGTTATGTCAAAATGGAATTCAAACTAGGGAAATTTGCTCTAATCAAGAAGATAAATTGTCACCAAAGAAACAAGCAAGACTTAAAAACATTCAAGAAGGAAAACAAAGAATGCACCGGATATCACACATTATATGGATTAAGTGTTGAAGAGAACATGAATTGTTGAGTATTTCGAGCCTGATGACTTGCATTACAGAATTGGTATATTAAGGTTCTACATGAAGAGAATTTTAACTAATATGATTTAGTACTAATTTGTAGTGTTTTACTTTTAGGTAATTCAGATCTTGAAAATTAATAGGATAAAATCAATGCAAGAAAATTGAGTGTGTGTTCATGGAATAATTATCTCTGTCATATGATCGTAGGAACTACATAGTCATTAACTTCAAATAATGAGTATGTTTAGAGGTAATGTTCACAAATGACTAATTTGTTCACAATGTTTTCAATTCAAAATTTGTGTACAATGTTTCTAAGATGTTTGGTTCTATTTTAGATACATTAACAGATGCAAGTGAGTTGAACATATTTAACGCAAGACTTAACTTTGCCAAGTCTGATTTAACTGAAGTTGCCAAGAGAGTTAAACATAATACATATTGTGAATAAATAAATAATTATTTTTATAGGCTAACATTTTATGGACTATCAAATTTTAGTTTTCTAATGTTAACTATGTAATATGTAAATTTTGTATATTGTAAATGATAATATTTAATAAAATTACTTAATATCCGAAATTATTATTAATATTCTATATTTGCAGGAAATTTAATTAAATAAGTATGTAACATAAAAGACACCTACACGCTTTTTTATTCAATTTAGATACGTAGCAAAAATGTAACCGCGGTGTATTAGTGTGCAACGAAACAGCCGTTACGTTCTTGCCCGCGAAATAGATGCTTCTGTGTGCCTCCCAGGTTACGTACCTGATTCGTGCGGACGTGCCAGCGTTACGTAACGTTCATGGCTTTGTTACGTTTTGTGGTTTACTGGGTCGCATTCGAATATGCGAATATGACTCCTCGTATAATTTATTTGTCTGAGCCAAGAATAATTGCCTCCGTGACTGTTTTCCAATATGACTATCAAGAGCAATAATCACAGCGATTTAAATATAATTGCAATTAAAAATTCTTTCATTTTTCATGCTGTTATTTGAAGAAACCTAATCAAGAGAAATATACTGCATGCGTCTTTCTACAGATTTTGGAACACAAATTCGATTTTTGTGTCAGTCTCACAAAACCATGTTGACATTCTCATGCATTAGCAACACTTACCATCGTAATTATCAACCAATTCAACTCCTACAATTATTATACAATTGGTTTACAATCGATTGGTTTACAATCGTTCAATAGAATTACATGCCTTATGATCTGTCAAACATTTTGTTAAACTTATCAAGTTGGATTGTTGAGCAATATGACCACCTTGGTAGTTTTTCTGGAAAGTATTTTTGTATTGGCAAGTATAATTTCCAAAAAATGTTGATTAGCTATCGATTACCAATATTCCAACTTAGTTGACTCGTCGTTAGAACTGGGATTCACATTGTAATGGAGTGACACACTTGTCTATTACATGTTTTTTATGTAGGATGTTGGAGTAAAATTATGCATCATTTCTTTTTTACGATATTCATACCGCCTTTCATATTGAAATTATAGATTAGATATTTGATATGTTTCACTTCCAGTAGTACTTAATTGTTCTTCATCTCGATGCAATTTTATATCATAATGTTATCAGTCGCTTATGGTATAAACCATCATTCTTTAGAAATTGTTTATAAGTTAAAATAATTAAATATATAAATTCTTCTTGTAACTGCCGTAGTATAATTATTAACAGTGCTTTTACTTTGATTCAATAGTCACTTATTTTTGTTTCATCCGCGTAATACTTTTTCATTCTATTAACAACAATACTTTCACCATAATATGATAGCATCTCCCTGTTCAGTGTCAACAGTATTTCCAAATTTGTTTTGCTAGCGCATTTGGCAATTAATTCATTTCTATCCGAGTTCATTACATTTTAACAAATTTTTCATATTCAAAGAAAACACATACATCAATTTCGAAAAAAAAATCAAGAAGACTACTGGCACTTTACCAATAACAATACAATACATAATTTGAACACTTTGGCCAACTGTAATTAAACGATTCATCATCGCATTCCTTAGATTTATTCTCGCTCAACAAGAAACTCATGAATAAAAAATATACTTAATAGCACATGTATTAAAACGATTTTGTATCGTACTGAGGATTTGTAAATTAATAAAAAAATACAACCTAAACAATTTTCTAGATTCACTAAAACAACACGAGTTATGCTTTTTATGTGTTGAATTGACATGCAAGACTATCAAATGGAAAATATATACTATAATATATATACGATAAATTATAAACTATATTATTTCATTTTAATATATTCAATATATATTCGGCTGCTTTCTTTCTTTATTATCTTTCAGGTTGTTTGCCATACCAACACTTATTCTTTTCTTATATTTCAAAATGTACAATTTGATATTTTGGGTATGATTAATTACCTACGATCGAGTCGTATTAGAATCAAAATATAATATCCACAAACATTTGAATAAATATCATGATAGACGAATCTGTATATAATATGAAAAACTCCTATCATTGTAAACGAATTCGTTTAAAGTTTTAAAAATAGATGACTTTAATGTCACGATTTTAATTCACAATAAAGCAGTTCAATATCAGAGTCATTGCGAAGAAGAGCATTCAGAAACTGAGAAGCAGAGAGAAACTGAAAACCATTCAGAAACTGAAGAGCAAGAGCCGCCAGCCACTAATGAAGACGAAGCTGGAACAGGTAACGATGGATCACAGAAGATCTACACAAGATTAGAGTCGTCGCGGAAGAAAAAATCTCTCAACCAAACGAAACCACATTGCGAGCGGATAGTGCATTATTAGAAACAAACCCACAAGGATGAAGCAGTTTCAGGTCGAGGCCTGCCGTAGGATTGAGGTGATCACAACACCGACTGACCTGAAAGAGAGATCATAGATTTGTCCAGCAAAAAAAGAAACCACTGGAAAGCTCGGAAAGCCAGAAACAAATTCATCTTGATTCATGTAGCACATGTCAACAGTGGTGGCTACATAGAACCTCAATGACGAGCATGAATCTGTAATCATAAAAGATAAATCTTTTTGGCGTCAAGTACTCTCAAGACTTCTTGTGACACTTTAAAAAAAAGTGCATGGTGATGTATTAAGCTCCAGAGAAAACTTTGAGATAATAGAAAAATATGACCCTATATTGCATGAATTAGTAAGTAAACCAAACAGCCAGGTAAAATACTTACGTCCAATAATATAATATAAATTGAGCTGGTATCTGCCCTGACTCTAGAAGTACAAAATGCAGTCATAAATGCAATAAATGCGCACTATTCTACTCGATTATATCGATACAACTCAAACCATTTCAAAAATTGATCAAATTTGTAAACTTTTCCTTTATTGTATGATAGATTTGATCATATCCACACAACATCAGAATCCATTGGTAATAACAGAGAAATAGGTCCTGAACACAATCGCTGACCTTGCTGTAAAACTCATGGACGTATGTGCTTCCAACTACGCCATGGCCTCCAGCAAGGACACCACAGACAATAAACTAGATAAGCTAAAAAATATTCTCACATTGGCTCTAAAAGAAATACAGAAACTGAAACCTGTACAACAAGTACAACAACAAGAAATAGAGCAGCTAAAGTCCAGATCCAATCAATATAATCAATCCAACCAATTCCACAGGAGACCAAGATCCAGAACACCGTCAAGAAGTAATGTTTGGTACTATCACATAAGGTTTGGAGACAGGAGCAAAAAGTGCACACACCCAACGTCTGTTCAGTAGCAAACTCAATCCGAAAAACTAAAGCCACCAGCCGAAAAATATGGAAAATACAGGTGGTGCGGGGATTATCGTAGATTAAATGCCAACAAATATCCTCCACCACTTATTCAAGATGGGTGTTCCCATTACTCCATGATAAGAAAATTTTCTCGACACTTGATTTATTCAAAACTTACCGTCAGGTTCCTATGGATGAGAAAAACATTCAAAAACAGCAATTATAACACCCTGAGGACTCTACTTAGCAATGCCATTTGGACTCAAGAATGCAACAAACGTTTGAAAGATTCATAAACCATATATTCGGAGGATTTGACTTCGTATTTATTCATATAGATGACATTCATGTCATGACTAAGAATGAACAGGAATATCAAGAACTCGTCTAGTATTTGAAAAGCTACAAAAACATTAACTTTCAATCAATACAGAAAAATGCAGACTAGAAAAAACAGAAGTTGATTTTCTCGGTTACAGGATCAATACCAAGGGCTATGCACAGATAGAATAACGAAGATTTTAGAATTTTCAAAGTCAACAACAGTAGTGGAACATTGATGATTTACTGGCATGGCCAATTACTATAAGAGGTCAGTGCCAGCATCAGGTAGAATACAAATACCACTTAACGCCTTTCTAACATAAAAAAATTACAAAACACCTATATCATAGAACTCTGAAGCTGAAAAGCGTTTGAGAACTTAAGAGAAGCCTATCAAATAGTATATTACTACACTATCCTGCAGCATCAGCCAATCTTTGTCTCACCACAATTGCATCGATAGCCATTGGAGCCGTTCTGGAGCAGAAGGAAATTGGAACCTTGTGCCCTTTTAAAGCTTAATGCAAATGTTAACAAGGGGAAAATTGCTTAACTGCATCTAACGATAAATAGAAGTACCAAGGTAGGTGCTCGAAATGAATATGGCAAAACAACACTTCATGCTGCTATTTAAAACAAATGTCAACATTGTTGAAGTTCTTTTGAGGCATAACGCAAATGTTAACTCTGTAGTAAAGGATGACATTACCTTGCTTAATTCGCTCAGCGCGATTGCATGCAGAGAATAAATTATCTATTAATTACATCCAACGACTTAAATTTAAAAAAATATTCATTAAGATCATCCACAAAAATATTGTGGATGATAGAGAGATTATATCGAAAGATCTAAGGTATGATTATTTGCATTTCACAGCCAGAGACTATGATCAATGCTTTGAATCAGTGATGCACTTAATCAGAAAAATATTGACCGAGTTATAAAAATAAGCTTGTGATGTTTTACATTTAAAAATATGTTAGTGATGATATGACAGATACAATGGAAAGATGAAACAAAAAATCTAAAAATTCGATCAATTCTTACCTATGTAAATGCATGGATACAAATAACTGACTCTGGTGCAAAACTAAAAATAGGTTTGTATCCTAACCATAAAGTAGCTAAATATTTTTATTTCTATATACACCCTTCAAGTATAACAGGAATATATCATATACTATAGAATTTTTAGGTAAATATGCCATTAAATTTAATAATTTCTTCACTTTGTATGAAAATGAGTGATTAGATGTGATAATCATTGACTCTTATTTAGCATCAATTGAATGTAGTAGCAAACAATTCAAAATTTTTATTCAAATAATTGAAA